CAAGAATCTGAAAATGTAATTAGGTCATTTTGACCAAATTTGACTTAATCCTCATTTTGATGTGATGGGTGACAAATGTGCTCAAAATATTTCTGCTGCTTGGTTTGTGACAACAGGAGGCTCAGTCTTACGCAGATGACAACAGCCTACTTTTCATGGAGACGTCAGCCAAAACATCTATGAATGTGAATGAGATATTTATGGCTATTGGTAAGTTGTGCATTTATACATTAATAGTCTGGTTCAGCTTGGTGTTTAATGTCCTAAGTGTATTATGTAGGGTTTAAAAAAAATGAACGTTTGCCTTTTTTTTTTTTTGTAGCAAAGAGATTGCCGAAAAGTGAGCCTCAAGCTTCAGGAGGCACCAGTGGTCGAACCCGAGGAGTGGACCTGACAGAAACTGCCCAGCCAGCCAAGGCTCCATGCTGCTCAAACTAACATGAAGAACACACTTTCTAGACCTGTACACTAGTAACTAATGTGGTCCATGCCCCCAGATGCCACTGCAGCTACTAATGCAATGTGTCAGCCGTTGTTTAAAACAAGGAAAGATGCCTTGTGTCTCCCCCACCTCCTCACTTTGTTTCTTTCTTGCAGTAGCAAAGTCGGTGCCATCTCACTGATGTTCCTGCCTCATGCGTTGTGGTTCTGCTGCTGCCTGGGGAAGCCTCCTAACCACTCTCTTACTTTCTACCATCCAGCTGGTTGCATCTATGAGTTAGTTTGGGTGATCGGCTGTCGCAGATATTAGACACACGAGTCCCGTCCATCATCTTCGCTCCAACTTGTACAGAAGAGTTTCATTTTAAGGAAGTGATCACTTCCTGTTTCTAAAATAGCCTGAGATCTTACTACTGCTTTTTTTTTTTACACCAGTCTTCTGTTTTGGTCATTTTTGATGATTCTTGTTTACTAGGAGTTGGTTTAAATTCTGGACTCATGTACTTGTATATTTATATGGGCTAAAATAGAAAAAAAAAATTTACATTGTGGTCTGCAGTAGCACAAAACATATAGTAGGGACTAAAAATATTTCTGTTGAAACTGAGAGACTAAAAATCGTGGACTACAGGTCTTTCAAAKTCACGCCCCCATTTTATTCCTCATTTCTCCTTATTAAACTAAAATTAGCGCTAGTGTACAATTGCTGCCTCCACCTGTAGGCGTCATTCTGGGACTGTGCCTGCTTGTAGTTTGTCCATAGTAGCATTGTGCAATGTTTTGCAGTGTTACTCTCTGATATGAGTATCTGCAAGGACAATTGTGCAGTCTCCTAAGGAACACATCAACAACCACCTCTCCATTCAATATACGTCGTGGCCTTTTGTAAATCTTGTGTGGTCCATCTCTGATGAAACAGGGGTTATTTAGTTATGTCACTTGATGGTTTCAGTTTATGCAATTATCCTTTTCCATCGTGTCACTGTAGCTGGACCGCTGCGAGGTTTGCACAGCTTTTAAAGAAAAAAAAAGATGGTGGTAGTGAGTGGGGGTGGTGCAATACATGAGGTCTTTCATGTTAATGGAATCCTAATTATTTGACACCTTGTTTAGAAAAGTGCTTTAGACACATTCGTGTGTCCCTTTTGTTCTAACTTTGCCTGGGCTGGCTGGTGACTGATTTCATATATAAACTTAGTAACATGCACATTAGTGTGTGTGCATGTTTGAACACACATTTGCACAATAAAAACACACGTCGACTTCTCCCTCCTATCTGCACATTTAATTTTTTTCCCCAACTTTAACACCTTTGTAGATCAGCTACAGTCTGTTACCTTTTCTGCACCAATGTCAAGCTCTTACATGTTTTCCTTGTCCCCTTTAGAAATTGTTACACACAAACACACACACACACACACACACACAATTTACATAGAATACTTCTAGACAATATCTTTTTGTACTGATCTGTCTTACTCATGCCTTGCACTAATAATGCTCATGAATTTATGTTGTCATAATCTCAGTGTTATAAATATATACATAATATAAATATATAAATAATATACTGTAAATATGGTGTTGCAGTGTAGTCTTTTTTATTTTCCTAGTGACAGGACTAATGCTTGCTAAGGAGTTGTCTAGATAATCATTAAGAAGGAAAAGAAATGTACAGTTAGCAAGAAAACCAGCCACAATCTGGGTTTGAAGTTTTGTTGCTGTCTCCTTTTTCACGAACGGTTAAATTATAATCAGTGGTGGTCTTTATAAATATATGTAGTGTTATTAACAACAAAATTACATCACATTTATTCAGATGTCTGTCTTGTACCCTTTCTCAGAAAAGAAAAATGATATACCCCAACATTGGTTTCTTGTTTTATTTTATTTTATTATTTTTTGTTTGTTTGTTTCCAAATAAAGTTTTTGTTGCCTTATTTTATTTCCAGAGCTACTGGTGGCAAAAGTTCCAGAGGAGCGGGTTAAAATTAAAATTTGCTTGTCTGCTTTTTCCAAACTTTTAGCATTGTAACAGTAATGCAGGAAACCTGTAAAATAAATAGCACAATATGAATATACATTTTAAAAATCAATTAATTGTAAGCACTTTGCATAAGTGCACATTTAAATGCAGCCTTACAGTACTATCATAATAAATTTAAACATTTATTATAATCAGGCAGTTTGTGTGGGCATGTATTAAGTGGTATTTTTTATTTAAGTTGTCTTAAAAAAGTAAAATGGTTTAGAATTTAGGGAACTGCCAAACATTTTTGTACATTTGACCTTGAATTTTTGCTCCAATTGGCTGGATTTTGTGACCCCTTGAGTTGCAGATGAGGCTGGCCTGGTCCCTTTGGCGCCCCCTGGTGGARGAAAATGGCGCCGCAGCCTGGAATTGAAAATAAGGATGAGCGCCATGTCTGATCCTCCGCTTGTGGAATAGAAGCGGACGGCGGAGCGATCGTTTCCCCGGGGCCTGTGCTCCCCTTCGGGTTTCGGGGTGACTTCCATGGCTGACACCGCAGGGATCCAGCAAGGTTCGCCGGCCATCGGAGCCGCGGGCCTGGTTCCGGCCGCTCCCGGAGCAGGGGGGACAGAAGGTTCCGGCGCCGCTGGAGGATCCGCACGTATCGCCGCGAAGAAGGCGCAACTCCGCTCGTCACCGCGGCCGAAGAAACTGGAAAAACTCGGAGTGTATTCATCCTGCAAAGTACGCGCAGCTTGCACACATGATACTTGGGAATTAAGTTTTACGTGCTTGTTCCAAAATAAAAGGCATGTTGGGCTTGGTTGCAATAGTTTGCTAAATGCAAGCGCAGCAAAGGAAGCCATTGCCGCACTTAGTTTGTCTTTTTTAATTATTAGGCACGACGCATTTTGGTGAAAAATGATGCAGATTTTTAACATATTGTCATAATTGCTCTAGGACTCTTTGTCAGGGGCCTTTTCTCTGCAGACTAGTGTTTTTGGTTATTTTTTACAGTACAGTTTCTGTCACGGTGGGGGGTTGGTGAGCGTAAACATTGGCTTGACGCTGGGTTTTGGGGAGTTGCTGGAAGTGAGCGCAGGGGGGCTGAACCCGAGCCCGTGTTGGTGACCGAGCGGTCTCGTGCTTCTACCGGAGGATTTCCCGGTCTCCCGACCGTCTGTTGGAGCGCAGCGGCGAGCACACAGGGGAGTTTATTTGGGCTTGTGCAGCGTATGATCCGCAGAGACGGAGTCTTTGTTTTGACAGGGAGACAGCTGCTGCGGTGGGCGGAGTTTGTTGTCGTTTCAGTGCGCATGCGCAGAACTGCACAGCCAGCTGACCGCGGTGACAACAAGCCTCTGCTGTGTTTTCTACCAGTTTCCTTTAATCCGAGTGACCTTTCAAAGTTTAAACATGTATAGTATTGTGTAAAAGTTTTAAATCAACCCAAACATATTTAACCTTCATTTTTAAAGAAGACAGACTTTTAATTTTTTACTTATTTATTTATTTTATTTATTTATTTCGGTTTTCCTCAGTTTTTTTTTTTTTACCTTTTCACTCATTTACTGTTCATCTGTAAAACCATGGTGTTTAAAATATGTTTTTGTGCTGCATTATGTGTTGTTTGTGTAGGAACATGACAAATCCTAAGACTAAAATCAAAGAAACTAGACTCAAGACTTTTGACCAACATTATGACTCTTAAAATTTGAAGCTTTTCAAAGTAAAATAGGTAAATTGTTTAATTTTAAATGCTATTATGACAATATCTGCATCATCCCTTTGTTCCTTTTCACTGTGATAATTAACTGTGAAAATATATTCGACAAATTCTTGGTGGATTTGCTCATTTATTTGCTTCTCCTTAAACTTGTTTCTGCTCGTTTTAGGCTGAAGGACCCTGTAAGTGTAATGGATGGAAAAGTCAGAACCCCCCTCCCACACCCCCTCAAACAGACCAGCAGTCCAGCACAGTTAACCTGCAGGAGCCCTGTCGGAGCTGCTCACACACTTTGGGTATGTGAGCGTGACAAGAACATAATCCTACAGAAGAAAAAAGTTCATCCGGTGTTACTAAAAGCGTTGACATTCTGTTCTTTCCCAGGCGATCACGTGACCCACCTTGAAAATGTTGCAGAGGAGGAAATGAACCGACTTTTAGGAATTGTCCTGGATGTGGAGTATCTGTACACGTGTGTTCACAAAGAAGAGGACGCTGACACAAAACAAGTCTACTTTTCACTTTTTAAAGTAATTTCCTGTTTTTACTGTCCATCTTTTTTAACAATTAAGTTTGTCAAACTCTGCGTTAAGATACTATTATTGTGTTTACCTTCCAGCTGTTGAGAAAATCCATCCTTCAGATGGGCAAACCAATGTTAGAAGCACAAGAGAGTCCTCCATTTGAAAAACCCAGCATCGAGCAGGTAAAGTTTATTAAAGACACAAACTTCCATTTCGTCTTCACTTAAAATCCAGCCTCAAATTCTTTCTCCCTCTGTTTGTTTACTGAAAAGGGAGTGAACAATTTTGTCCAGTATAAATTCAGCCATCTCCCATCAAAGGAACGTCAAACCATCATGGAGCTGGCTAAGATGTTTCTGAACCAGATCAACTACTGGCAGCTGGAAACGCCCTCCCAGCGACGCCAAAGGGTGCCTAATGATGACGCGGCTGGCTACAAAGCCAACTACACACGGTGGGACTGAGCAGATGAGCCTGCAGCCTGCTTTAGTTCCATTTCCTGTGCATTTTAAAAGAAAAAACAATCATGTGTTTGTCCTGTTTGWAGATGGCTGTGCTACTGCAACGTGCCTCAGTTCTGCGACAGCCTGCCCCGCTACGAGACCACTCAGATCTTCGGCCGGACCCTGCTGCGTTCTGTGTTCACTGTGATGAGGAAGCAGCTGCTGGAGCAGGCCCGACAGGAAAAGGACAAGCTCCCCCCTGAGAAACGCACACTCATTCTCACACACTTTCCAAAGTAAGAGATGCAAAATGATCATTTAAAAATCCAAGCGTTCACAAAGAATGTGGACTATAAACTGTGTGATGTTAAAACATGGCCGCTTCCCTGCTGTTAGAATATAGTAATTCTAAGTTTGTGGTTTCTTTGCTCAGGTTCTTGTCCATGCTGGAGGAGGAGGTGTACAGTCATAGCTCTCCTATCTGGAGCCAAGACTTCTTGGCAGGAGCTGCAGGAGGGCAGATACCCATTCACACAGGTAACACACCCACACACCTGTCAACACCCTTGATTATTTTCATTCCTTTATGATGGCAAGACAAAATAAGACGTTCCCTCTTTGTGTGCAGTGATTAGTGCTCCTCCAGTGTCCAGGCCCATATACTACAGCACCAGTCCTGTGTCAGTGGACCCGTCCACCTGCGGCAGCGTCAGTCCCGCCAGGAAACCTGCCTCCGTCCTGGAGTCAAACTCAGGTATTACAAAGAAAACTGGAATTTTAATCCACYTCTACTCCATTTAAATAAAAGAAAATGAGATTTGATTATATAAAYTGGCTTTTTTAAAAGAGTTGATTCGTCAGCCAAAACGTGAGGCGAAAGAAACTCCAGGATATTTTAATCATGGGCCACTGAGCGTCAATTTTAAATGCTGTTTTGTCTTGTTTGTACTCTGGTGATGTATATTATGAGGAAATAGAAATTAATCTTGTGATCTGTGTTTATAGTTGGAGAAAAGCGTAAAGCATCAGAACCTCTTCATCACGAAGAGAACAAGAGACCCAGGGTGCTGGGTGACATCCCCATGGACCTCATCAACGAAGTCATGGCAACCATCACTGACCCCGCTGCCATTCCAGAGGTAACCTGTTGATCTTTGTGTGGCTTAAAGCTTTCCTCAGGGTCTTTCACRAGTGCCTCTACAGGATGGGTGGACTTGGCTGAACTCTGTTCATCACGGCTCGGGTGGTTTTTCATAACAGCTCTAGTGGGTGGGTTCMTCGTTAAGTTGGACAGTACCAGGGTCTGAAAATTGATGCCACACACCTTACCAGCTGGTGGTGGTTATGTTCCAAGCTTTTTGCCAGTCACCATTAAACATATTAAAAGAAGAAGACCCCCCCAAAAAATGCAACACAACAATGGAGGACATGGTAGCATTGTTATTGCAAATGGCAGATCGGGTTGTCGTGAGAGTAGCTCCTTTGATGCAACCAGTGACTCACCCCCTAACCAGTCAGTGACCGACAGKCTTCTGATGTCATGTTTTCAGGCCAGCATGTTACACTTAGAACCACAGCGAAGTAAATCATGAAAAAGGGGCCGGTTCCACGAATCCTTGCTAGTAGAAAATTGGAAAAGCTTTGGAAGCATGTAGAGCCAAGTCAAACCATGCTGTAGAGCAAGGCTATTCTACTAAATTGCTCTGGGGGCCACAGTTACTGCAGGCCAACAGCTCAGGGGCCGAACATCCAACTATTAGTCGTTACATAAATAAACCAAGTATTACAAAAATCTTTGAAATAGTTTATTTTGCTGCATTTAATCATGAATAAAACATACAGAACCCTATAAAAGTAGTGATAATTAAACAATATCAAAATCAAAAAGAACACATTAGGCCTCCTGTTTAAAACAAATATTATTTTGACATCTCTGACTTGCCAAATTTTATACCGATTTTATTTTCACTTTCATAGTTTTATCTTCAACTGCTTGTAATTTTAACTGTCTTGAGTGTTCATAGAAATGTTTTTTACCAGCTTCTAGCCAAGATTCGGATGTTTCTGTAGATTACAATGTCCAACTAAACTTCGAGTAATTAAAGTAGAAAACCGGGGGTTTGGGCTTAAGAGATGAATGAACCAATTGGCAGCCGAACCGCCAGTTGAATAGCCCTGCTGTAGAGGCACTAGTGAAAAGAGGCAAAACAGTCTTTAAGGCCCTGACAATAGTGCCTACTAACTCTAAACCTGTCAGATCTTCTAAAAAGGTGTTTTTGTGACATAAACAAGATGATCAATATTTTCACCTCCACTCCTGGTCAGACCAGTCTGCTGTCGGCTCACTCTGCTCGTGACGAAGCAGCCCGCCTCGAGGAGCGGAGAGGAGTGATCGAGTTCCACGTCATCGGGAACTCCCTCAACCAGAAGCCCAACAAGAGGATCTTGATGTGGCTCGTCGGCCTTCAGAACGTCTTCTCCCACCAGCTTCCACGCATGCCCAAGGAGTACATCACCCGGCTGGTCTTTGACCCGTGAGTGTTTCTAACCGTGCTCCATCATCACTCTTGCACGCAGAGGTAAAAAGAAAAGATCTCGTTTTCCTGCAGAAAACACAAGACCCTSTCGTTGATCAAGGACGGGAGAGTTATCGGAGGAATCTGCTTCAGGATGTTTCCATCGCAGGGGTTCACAGAGATCGTCTTTTGTGCCGTCACATCAAACGAACAGGTCAAGGTGAGAGTGTGCCCTGCTGTTGTTTGCTTTCAGCTACACCTGTGCAGCCAGAGTCTGATCTTTGGCTGTTTCTCTGCAGGGTTATGGAACCCATCTGATGAACCACCTGAAGGAATATCACATAAAGCATGAAATACTCAACTTTCTTACTTATGCTGATGAATATGCAATCGGTTACTTCAAGAAACAGGTAATGGAATTTGTCGATTAAARTACGTCGACGCCTCTATTGCTGCAGAAAGTAAATAAAGAGCCCTCTCCTCATCCTTCTCAGGGTTTCTCAAAGGACATCAAAGTTCCCAAAGCAAAGTACGTGGGCTACATCAAAGACTATGAAGGAGCCACGCTCATGGGCTGTGARCTCAACCCCAGCATCCCTTACACAGAGTTCTCTGTTATCATCAAGAAGCAGAAGGAGGTGCGTGGGTGAAATCTGAATAAAGGCTCTCAAGTTTACGTCTCCCTCCTTCTTGCTGCCTTTCTAATTCACCCATCTTCTTTTAAACCCCTTTTTAGATCATCAAGAAGCTGATCGAAAGGAAGCAAGCTCAGATCCGAAAGGTCTACCCGGGCCTGTCCTGTTTTAAGGATGGAGTCCGGCAGATTCCCATCGAGAGCATTCCTGGCATTCGTATGTTACTATGAGCTATGCACTGTATGGAACTCACTCAGTTATCAGCCATGGTTGATCATTTTTTCTGATTTGATTTACCGACAGGTGAGACCGGCTGGAAGCCAGCAGGCAAAGGGTAAGACTGTGAAACTTTGCTTTTATGCATTGCTGCAACTAATAATTTATTTAATGGATTCCATACAATGGCAAGACTACTGTTAATGTTCTGGTTGCCACAGACACTGATCATGGATATAATAAACTAGGTATAATAAACTAGTTTTCTTTTTCTCCTTGCTGTTGCAGGAAAGAACTGAAGGACCCGGACCAGCTGTACAGCACTCTAAAAAATATTCTTCAGCATGTGAAGGTGAGGGACACAAACTCAGCTCTGACAATGTCCAAAAGGCAACTTAAATCAAAGACTAATTAGGATAATGAGTCTTTATACCTGTATAGTCTGAAAGTGTGTAATTTATCCATTTTTGTGATAAAGTCTTTCAACTTTTGTTGTTTTGCTTCTTTTCTGCACCTACATCTCCTGTTCTGTTCACAACCTGACTTGTTTTAGAGTCACCAGAATGCCTGGCCTTTCATGGAGCCTGTGAAGAAAACAGAAGCTCCTGGTTACTACCAAGTCATTCGTTTCCCTATGGGTATGTACAATCACGATTTTTTTACCGTCATGTTAAATACAATCGCTAGATCTAAAAAAAGAATCCCCAGTTTTAATGTTTAGTTTTGAATGGGTTAAACTCTTGTAAAAAAAATAAATAAAACATTTCCTCCCCTTAAAATGACTGATGCAACCTTTATGGTTTGAAGGCTTAAGTTGAGCAAATGGAGCTGGAGAGGTATATTTACAACTTGATTTGGCAAAATTACCCCTCATAAACCTTATGGAACTCATTTCCAGTATTACCACAAATACATCAAAGTGCCTGCTTTCCTTTCGACTTCCAGATCTGAAGACGATGAGCGAGCGTCTGAAGAGCAGGTACTACACCACGCGCAAGCTGTTCATGGCCGACATGCAGCGCATCTTCACCAACTGCCGCGAATACAACCCTCCRGAAAGCGAGTACTACAAGTGTGCCAACATACTGGAGAAGTTCTTCTACACCAAGATCAAAGAAGCGGGGCTCATTGAGAAATAGAGGGAAGAGGTTTTTTTTTTTTTCCCCCTTCAGGGCTGAAAGGGATGAGGTCAGAGGTGAAGTAAACGAGAAGAAAAAGCCTACTGACCGCGGAATGGGAAGGTTTCACAAGCATGTTGCAAACGTGTCTTAAAATCAGCTCTGTTGCGTTTGATGCCGGCGCAGATCTGGAATCAGAATTTCAGATATTTACTTGGTAAAAGCGACCAAGAAGGCCTGATTAAACACAAGCATTGTGTGTTTGTATTTCAACACTTATCCCAGAGGGAGGATCAACACAGGGTGTCAGACATTTGAAACGTCAAGACAGGTTTTCTGATTAGGTGCTGAAGGCATCGAGAACGACGGCTGGTTGAATATTTATCTTGTTTGACTATGTGTCCTTGGCTGTTTTTTCCTGTTAACTGGAGCGGGGCTGTCACATGAAGTTTTTTTAAGTGTTACCTATGAGGAAAAGGAGTGTTTTTCCAACTCTTTGCTTTGATGAGCATGTAAAGCACCAGTAGGGTGAAAGTTTGTCTGTGATGAGTTCGTCCTGCCAAAAGAGGAATACAAATTTTAAATTTGTACATATTTTAATAATTTTCAAAGCACTTATGCCAATTGTATATTTTTAATATCTACATTTTCTTTTTCTTTACGCCACAAACAGCAGCTTGACTATCCAAATGCACTTTTAGTTAAAAATGTAGCCTCTTCTCATTTCTAAAAATGAATTACACTGTCGACTAAAAACTAATTTAATTATCTAGAGTCTATTCTTATTTATGTGCCGTTTCAGAAGAGTAATGCTTAGGACAAAAGTCTTAATTTATTGTCTTATTTTTGTCCTGCAGATGGAGATTGATAACTTTATACTTTGGAGAAAAACAAAAATTGTGCAATACTTTGTAGTTTTGCTGTTTTGTAAAAAAAAAAGTGTTTGTACTTTCCAAACTTTAGGGGAAAAAAAACAATCTTTTGTAATATGTCTGTAAAAATGATCTTGAGCTCTTTGTACAATCGTTTCATTGACGTAGATTTAGCCTATTTTATAGACTGAATAAAACAAATGCAAGGCTAACTTGGTGTTTTTTGCTTTCCTACTCGGTGTTAATGAAGGAAATTCAGTTTATTATGTTTGGGAGAATGTTTATTATCACGAACAAGTTAAAAAGGGAGATCAAACAACATGTGAATATTCAGCTTTCCCTTATAAAAGAAACCTAAAAAAAATTAAAAAAAATGATCATCTTTAGGAAACATTTGTCACTACATTTAATCAAACACAATTTAAAGAAAAAAGTAACAATAGCAACTACAACAAAGAATCTACAACCAATCTCAGTTGCTCAAAGAAACCACTGAGAGGTAAACAAAAGCACTTCTTAACCAACAAATCACCAAAAAGCAGTTTTCAGCGACATCCAACAAAAGACTCATTGTACTTCTCTAATGACTGCCGGCTGCTCACAGACACCTTGTTCTTCTGCACAGACTTCCTCCCAGACTTCTGCTTGAAAACAGGAGAGTTGAGGAACTGTGTGTCTGTGAATTTGTCGCCACGGCGAAGTTTTCTGTTAGAGAAGAATTTAATTGTTAAACATTATTAAAGCTGTAAAAAAAACATCAATGAGAGCAGACTCTCAGTGTGAACGTACGCRTTTAATGAAGGTTCCTTATAGTCGACCGTCATGGTGCAGCGCCGCTTGCGAACAGGGACGGGGGTGGAGCATCGAACATCTGAGGGACGTGAGCCGCCAGAGAAGTTACGAAAGGGTGTAGGTTGCATATTGGTCACATCACACAGACCTAAGCCCCGCCCTTCTGTCTTGACACCACCCACACCTGCAGAAATGTGGGGAAAGATGAAAGATGTTGTGCACTTACATTCAAAAGTGAACTCTAAGAACCCAGAGAAGTGAAAATAGGATCAAAATATGAACATCCCAGCTGACCAAAGCTATTCTCCGGTGTGACGGTTTGAACAAGTGAAAAGTGATTTGGGAGCAAATCAACAAAAACCAACTTACGTTTCTGGACTGTTTTGAGTCTCCATGGCGTTTGGTGGGGTACAAGTGAAGACGCTTCACATGAGTCTTTTCTAAAATTGGACAGGACGTTGCTTATTCTCATCATCTCAGCATCAACCAGAGGACTGACAGGAAGCAAACACTCCTCCATCTTCTCTCTGTGAGGTTCTGAAACAAACAAACACATCCAACTTTAGGTTATCATTTACAATCTGATCAAGAAATACACATCTTTACAGTAAATGCTGAACAAATATTTTGTATTCGGTTCTCAGCTTGTTTCATTGACGAACAGGCATCTACATTATGCTTCATTATGTAAAAAAATATACTTTCAGTAAGACTTATTATATTGTTATTGCAGAAGAAAAAAAAACTATTACCGTGGCTGTTTTCTTGTTCCAACCTCTCAGAGACGTTAGCGAGGGCAGAATCAGGCAAGTGATGAAGTTTAGTTTCACACTTTTCAGGCTTGGCCACTTTGAAAACGGACTCTTCACCTGTGAAAACTGCAGTTGATTATCATTATTTGTAACATAGGAAACAGAAAGCAAGCACAAACATGAAGCTGTAAATGATAAATTTAAATACTCACCAGAAAACTCCTCACTTTTTTTTTCTTTCCTTTTGACAACGTTCGAGGACCAGCGTTTGCGAGTGGTGATCCCTTTGGTCCCGTCAGGAGAAATCTGCCTCCATCTTGATTTCTGCGGGACATAAAGGCTGTCCTCTGACTCTGAAGATGGAGATGAGCTGGTGTCACTTTGTTCTGAAACAGCCGGTGCAGCTTTAATTTGTGCCTCCTCATTTTTGGGTGTGGCCGGCGGACAGTCCTCTGTTTTAGCCTTAAATGGCGTRATGTGGACAGCCTCTTCACAGTCAAAGTCAAAGGTGTCATTCATTCCAAGTGATGTGTTTAGCTTGTTACTCTGTGCTGGAGGTGCTGTTTTGGCCCGTGTGGCTGCACGTTCCCGAGTCTTCGAGCGGGCTCTGGGTTTGGGGTTCTCCCATGGTTTCTTTAACGGGGCGCGCTCTGGTTTGCGGCCTCTCTCAGGTTTCTGTGAAGCTGGTTCTGTTTTGGAGCGAGGCTGCTGCTGGGTTTGTTTCCTGTTTGGTTGTTTGGACTTTTTGGTAGGGGCAGGCTCAGGAGTGGAGTGATGGATTTCCTCAGTGTCGCTGAGATCTGCTGCTTCTGCTCCTTGTTGGTTTTCAGTCAGGTCTTTACTGTCACTGTGAATAGGACTTGGTATTATAGCCCCAAGTCCTGCAACTGGGTCTCCCTCACTCAGCAAGGCTGGCTGTCGGAGCCACTCAGATCTCCTCCTGCTTCTTCTGTCTGTGTTTCGACGCCTCACACCAACAGTAGACGGTAAGGTAATCTCTATGCCACAAAACTCTTCATTCGTTTTTGGGGGCGAAGGATCTGTGTGAACAAACAAAAACAKCAACATTACTTACGATAAATTCCTAGAAACAAATAGGAGTGATGAAATATGGCTAAAAGAATTCCACTCAAGGGAAAAACAAACCTGCACAACTCTGAGAAGCTTCACTCAGAATGTGCTCATGGAGTTTCTGGCTGCTCCTTCTGTAGATTGGAYGGTAAAGTATGTTGACAGTTAAAGTGTACAGTGCAGAATACAACCGTGTTTTTAGATCTAATTTTAATGCTCACCTTGCTGAATCCAGATGCTTCTGAGTTTCCACAAGGATGTCTGCAGGTTTGGCCTATTTCAGCACAGAGAGAAACTTAACATACTGAAACAATTGAATTATTTTACAATGTTTACTAGGGGTGTAAGAAAATATCGATACACTGAAATATCGCGATATTTCATTTCCCGATACTGTATCGATATTCTAAAGTCCTGTATCGATTTTTTATCAAGGTTTAAAATGTCAATTTTCCTGCCAGCCGTTCATTTTTATGTTGTAGTTCAGCCTCTGACCACTAGTTAACCAGCAGTGAGCCAGCCATTTGGCTCCTCTACTTCTTGAGCGCCAGAGAGTAAGGGTAGCATTAGCATTGTAAGTAAACATTAGCTTTTCTTTTTTCAGTAAGGTTTTTATTTAATATAATTTTTGGACAAAAAAAATCACAATATATCGCAATATACTGCCTTGCTTACAGTATCCCAATATATCGGGATATATCGTATCGTGACCACTCTGTTATATGTATCGTATCGCCAAATTCTTGCCAATACACAGCCCTAATGTTTACAAGGTTGTCTAAACTGTAAGACTTAAAATTTTATTAGCTAGACTAGGACAATCTAAATTGTTGTTCTTGTACAGCAAACTATTATTTGTACCTCTGAAGTACTGGCTGCCAGAGCTTCCTGCTCTTTCAGCTTCCTCTTCAGGAGAAGCAGGTGAAGGAACAGGGCTTGCTGTTCCCCCTTCAGCTGCAGGATCACYGCATGGGCCTGCCTCACTTTCTCCTTTTCAGCTTGAAGAGCTACAGCTAGCAGCTGGTTGTTCTGCTGCACACCTTTCAGGATGGTGTGTGTAGAACTGGGCCCTGGGAGAAAGTTTGGGACAGACAACAAATCCATCACYCCTGCACATTACAGCCGCCTAAAAACCATTTATGTGCATCATCAAAACAGACGCGATTAAATKAATGCACCACAGAAATTTTGATCCCAAATAAAATTGCGACATTTATGATTGTTTACCGCTGTTCTTGTTTATCATCCTTGATCGTTTCATGCTCGGATTTGCAGCACTGGCTACTCGTTTAACCCTCTTCTCCTTCATCCGTTCCTTGATGTCTTCCAGAGTCTGCTGGAAGGATTTCTTCTGAGGCCGCTCTCTGTCCATGGCTTAGCAGGTCTATGTTCAGTATCAAAGTAAATATTATTTAGGTGCTCAGTAGCGAGAAACAATGACACAGCTGTACGTGTTATGCTAACATCATAGGCTAGCTAGCTAGCTAGCTCACAAGCTAAGTAAACGTTTTAGCTTGACGAGGCGCTAGCTAGGCTTTTAACTCATATATAAATGTATATATTATATAAAAACGAAATAAATATAACCTTACCAGAAACTGTATAACCAGGGAATTTTACTTTAAATGTTTTTAAGATAGAAAAGAAGAAAAATATGCAGCAAAACAATCCATTTCATCACAGCTTCCTTTCAGTTGGTTGATGTTCGAATTCGGAGCCGCGACTGCTGATTGGTGGAGGTTTGGAACGACGTCACTTCCTTTGRGTGAAGTAACAGTTTTTGCTCGCTAGATGGTGGTAATAAACAGAAAATAAACCACGTTCTTCCAAAGGAGCAGTGAACTGGTTGTTATTCCTTATTCGTTTTATCCTTTGGGTCCAAACAGCACACATTAATACAGCACTACAATTATCTAATTATAACTCTTGGCGTCTCAATCAGTCCTCTTTCACCCTTTTCCTGCCTGTCAACTGGGAACAAACAAAACACACTGGAGATGTGTACCACTAGGAAATGAAGGCCTAATAAACTCAAGACTGTAGMTTATGAGTGAACATTAATTTCCGTGGAGCTCATGCGGCTCCTCTGATATTAGTGTTTATAATTKACCTCTGTAGATAAGAGTTTATAATGTAAAGCGTGTAGATGGAGCTAAACTGTTAATCTCAATGACGAGCAGAGTTTTCAGTCGTGTTCTTTGAGATTCTAATAAAAACCTCTGAAGGTTTGTTCAAGCTAAGATTTCACTTCAGMGAAGAAGTTAATTAACTTTTGTTTCTGACACTTTTCCTAAGTGTCTGCGTTCCTGCCCTCTTGCTTTTGACGTTGGGCCTAAACAAACACCCCCATGCTTTCATGCATTTACACAGCTGTTCCTGTTAAAGCCACCTTGTGTTCATAGCAACAACCATTAACACCCTCCTAAGCTTTTGCTAAGTAAATGTTCCATAAATACTGGAATACTTTATGATACTTAAAGACTGATGATTTCAACTGCATTAAAAGTCAAACATCTTGCTTTTGGCAAGATGCAAGAAAGAAATTAGCACTATTGCTGCAGGACCCCGACTAACAGCATCCATTTGGATGCTCTGTCAATGAGCGTCCAAGAAAGTGTCCGTACAAACCAAATGATTGGCACCGGACCATTTTATTGCACTTTTTACATAAACAACGGAGCTCCCAAACTAAAATTGTGGTTAAAAAAGGTTTTAATTATTTAAATATAATACATCATGCCTAAAAGAACTGATGAATGAGTATTTGGTCACAAAAATTATACAAAAAAGTTACAATTCTATTATTAACAGAAATGTACTGTAATAAAGTGAGCTTTTTGGAAAAGTGAGAAAAGTTAACTGACATAAACAGAGTTTATTTTCTTGCTAGAGCTTGTTTTGGCAGCTTAAATTTATTTTTTCTAATTCTCTGTTGGGGCATGCAGCTCGGTGATGTAATGCTTGTTGCCTTGATGGTTCCTGGAGTTTGCGGTTTCTCCCTGAACCTGCTCGCATCTCCTGCAGGTTTCGGTTCCATTCCTGCGCTCAGAACAGGGAAAAATGTTCACGTGCCATCTCTCACCAGAGTTCATGAAAAACTAGGAACATGCAAAATGTTCCCAGTTACTGTATGTTTTTCAGATGGATTTCTGACAATGAACAATACAGCTGGCATGACTCGGGTGAAGAAACTGTTTTGGTTTGGTGGGTGTGCGCCAGTTTCTATTAGATTCTTGGAAACAAAGTCTGCACATTATAATCAACTACAAATTAGGAGAAATTTCCAGGAAGGGRCAAAAATTACAAAACAGCTTTTCTATTTCAAATTATGCAATTTATTTCAGGAACTGCACAAAAATAGCTTTTCTAAATAAATCTCCAGTTCATTTAATCCCTAATTTTTTACCTTTTTTTTCTCACAGAATCATGCACGGTCTGGCCTCCTGCATGCACAGATGGGCTGCAGCACACTGAGGCCACAAAGGATTTTGTTAAAGCTCGAGTGTCGCCGGTGTCACCCAGTGAAAACAAATGACTCCAGCGGGGTGTCTCAGCTGTGAAACAGACCTGCACGTTTCAGGCTTGCACCCTGAAGAGCAGCAAATGAGCAGTTCTGTCTCTGCAGAGTTTGATGCTTTCTGTGCATTTTTTCCCTCCCCAATATTTCCACAACGCTCAATGGAGGATTTGTAGCATTTAAACTTTATTAATGCAAAAAAAAAGATGAAAAATTACAACATATGTGTGATTTCAGTAACAGGTGTGCCCTTTTAGAGAAGGTTCAAGAACTAAGTAGGCATTCTGTTACAAAGTGACCGTGCAACCTGTAATGACGCACTGTTTTAACAATAACATCATCACTTGGGTTTATTTAAAAGGTAATATTCTTGCTAAAAGCCAGCAAATGTTGCAGCTGTTCCCCGTACACTGTGTGTGTTTTGTGAGTCAGTTTTTAAAGAGCAAAAAGAATAAGAGAGCAAAGGAGGAGGAGGCACTTATAATGTCAGGCAGCCAGAGGGACTCCTCAGGTTTTTGCTCAGCTTGCTTTAATGGACAAATCCATCACAGTCATTTCATGCCACCTCTTACTATCCACATGTCAGCTGCCTGGAGAAAAAACTTATTATCACAGGTACAGAAAATGAAGGTGTTCATTAAAAAACAGAAGAAATAGCTCGAGCTTTGTGGCAGYGGGAGGCATAAAGGTGAAACAAGGATAAAAAGACAAACTGACAATGAACTTTAAATCATATGAATACTTCTTTTATGCAGCWGAAATGTTCAAATGTGTTCAGCTTTTTACGACGAAATTGTATAATTAATGAAGCTAGCAGACCTTGAAAGGAGTACATWTTGCCTGCTACCTTGCAAGTCTACATTTTAAACAGAAGTCTTGTGCGACTGTTTAAGCACAATTTGTGATGCGTTTGTCCATCTGATGTGAGCTAAACTCCGTTTCTTCTTCAGAGAGCTATCTATAACAGGAAAGATATTAATCAAYCACAATACTTGAAAGAAACCCCACTTTATAAAAACCTAAGCTTTCGCTTCAATTTCCATCCAAGCAGATATTTAGCAAAAACACTCCTGTCCAGTGTGACCGGCCAAAAATATGATCATCTACTTCTGCTACCAGATGAAAAGAATTAAGTCTAATCTGCGTTTTTACCTCTGTTGGGGCCTAAAACACACACAGTYCTGCTTTTTATTATGGAAAATGGGCAAATGGTGCCACACAAACAATTTGTTTTAATGGAATCATAACACTGGCTGTGTAATCAACCCTTACACACAAATCCGGCACCAAACAAAAGTCCAGTAACTCTGATTATTGCTTGTTTTACTGGCCCTACATCAACAAGAAATTTAGTGCTGATTATTGAGCAACTCCTCTCTTGACTTTTAGGAAGAGTGAAGAAATTAAATTGTGTTACGTATACTAAAAAATKTCAGTATCTCATGAAAAGCTCATCAAAACAAATCAGGTTTTGTCTCGTTCTATGTTTTATAACAGTGTGATGAAACCTTTTATTTTCCGTTTGAACAGAAAGTCAATATAAAGCTAAATTGTCTAAATTGCTAACAAATCTAACATAGGGCGCTCATTTGCCATCACATCCATTTGAGGCCAAATGACAGCAGCCCTGAGTCTCAAAGACACACAATTGCTTCTCTGTGGGCTGCAGCCATTATGCCTTCCAGTTTGCTCTCAAACACCCCGCTGGGCCATTTACTTCACAGCCAACTTCCCCTCCTTTTACTGATCTGTTGCTCCGTGCCATAACCGATGCAGTGCCCTCCTGCAGGGCCGGAAAAACCTCACAGGGTCTTAACAAATCCTGTCTGGTTGCCGCAGGAGAGCAGCTAAGGCAGCGCAGGGAAGAAGTGGAAGTGACATTTGAGTCTGAACTTTCAACTTGTGCTTCCTGGATGGCTTTGACGTGTGCTGACCCAGACGGATGGCACTTAATGTGCCCACAGCTCCTCCCYGGCCATTCTGCACCCGAGATGGAGGAGCAGTGAGTACTGCACCGATCAGCTGGTGTTAACCTTTGGACAGTTTGTTATCAACCACCAAGGCAATAAAAAGCAGGTTTCCAAATAAATATACACAAATGCACCTTTGTGTCTCCAAAGCCTAATAATGGCCATATTTGTCCTATTTGTTAAATTTAGCCAAAGCGTTAGAACAATGAGCTGTTTAATGGGCTTTTAAATGTGCTGGCAGGCAGAGATTTTTTTTTTTTTTGAGGTTACATTAAAGAGAGCCAAGCTACATTGGCATACAGACGTCCGGAGACCGGGGGTGTAAATGTGTAGAAGGCACAAAGAGCTCTTAAAGGCAAACTGATAAATCATCAACAACCTTCTGTAACAAATGTTCCAAAATACAAACACGAAGGCAGACATTTTGTATGTTTACAGTTGCTGCTCTTAAGAAAAAATGCAAAAAAATAATAATAATAAAAAATAGGTTGGGTTCTGTGTAAAGGTTATGAAAAATAAATATCTTACCTGCTGCAAATAGCAAACATTGTGTTTGTTTTAGGTATTTTTTTTAGCATAACTATTAATTTTAGCACATTCCTCATAATAAATTGGACATTATTATATTTCTTGTTCAGTTATCTGTATAAAAACTCGAGTAGTTCAAACTTCAATGTAGTAAATCTGCTTCCAACAATCACAACCCACACCATCCAGTTTTTGCAGCTACCCTCTGAAAATGAAAGCAACRTCTGCCCAGAAAATTGGAGACTATAAGAAGATAGTGCAGTGTTATCAGGAGCCCTTTTCCCTGGGCTGTAAGGTAATTAGAAAAAGGCAGTTAACAGAATGAATGGGAGGGTGGGGGGGTCAAATGGAGGTCTGAAGACCAAGAGAAGTTTTTAAAAAACTGCTTTTAGAAAAAAAAATGCTAATCAATTCCCAGGTCAACAGAGAGAAAACAAAATACTTCAACAAGATTTTGCAGAATGTGGAGTGTCTGCTCTTTTGTGCAGCTCTAGTTGAATTTTATCCTCAYGGAGGAGGTTTAAAAAAATACTCATTTGCATCCTTGTAAAGAAAAATTAAAGAAAGAAAAACGTATTCGAAGCTGATGAATAAACATCCAAACTAGCCTGGTGCATTTTGGAGACAAAGCTGGGACTGATGAATTTAAAACATGAACTCGGGCTGATCAAAGATGTATGGATGAAAAATAAAAGGTGCCAAGAACTCTGTTAAA